TCCAGACCCGAAATGTCAGCTTTCCTGCTCCGCTGATGCTGCTTGGCCTGCTGTGTTCATCCAGCTCTACACCTTGTTATCTCAGATTCTCCAGCATTGGCAGTTCCTACTATCTCTGTAACAAATACATACTTTAGTTCTGTCTTCAGAAAAGAAGGGAGAAAAGAAGGCAGAAAGAAAATGGTGAATTATAGATTTGTTAGCTTAACATCAGTTCTGGGAAAAATGCTAAAGTCTATTATAAAAGATGTAATAGCAGAGCACTTGGAAGAAAGTGATAACATAGGGCAGAGACAGCACAGTTTTATGAAAGGAAGTCATGCTTGACAAATCTGCTGGAATTTTTTGAGGCTGTAACCAGTATAATGGAAAAGGAGGAGTCAGTGGATGTGGTTTAATCAGATTTTCATAAGGCTTTTAATAAGGATTAATATGTAAAACTAAAGCACTTCAAATTGGAAGTTGTCTACTGAAATAGTTTAGAACTAGTTGGCAAACAGGAGAAAAGCATAGGAATAAACAGGTTTTTTTCTGAATGGCAGCATCGACTATAGACCAAAGGAAATAGGAACAGGAATAAGCCATTTGGCCCTTCAAGCTTGCTCCACCATTCAACAGGATCATGGCTGATCCTACATGCCTAACATCCACTTTCCTGCTCTTTCCCCAGGACCCTTGATTCCCCACTGATCAAGAATCTGCGTATCTCAGCCTCATATATGTACAAGGACTCTGCCCCCACAGCTCTTTGTAGCAAGGAGTTCCAAAGATTCACAACCCTCTGAGAGAAGAAATTCCTCCTCATCCCAGTCTTAAACTGGCAATCCTTTATTCTGAGGCTATGGCCTCTGGTTCTAGACTCTTCCATAAGCGGTGACTAGTTGAGTATCACAGAGATCAGTGTTTGGACTCTTCCTATGTATCTGAATGCTTAGATGATGAAGTTACGTGTCATATCTCCAAGTTTACAGATGACATAAAGTTGGGTGGGAGGGGACGTAGTGAGGAGAATTCAGAGAAGCTTCAGTGTGATTTGGACAAGTTATACAAGTGAGAAAATATATATCAGATGCAGTGTAGTGTGGATACATGTGAGGTTATCCACTTTGGTAACGAAAACAGGAAGGCAGGTTATTATCCAAATGGTGACATATTGGGAAAGGGGGAGGTGCAATGTGACCTGGATGCCCTTATTCAGCAGTCACAAAAAGTAAGTAATGCAGGCCCAGCAGGCCATGAAGAAGGCAAATGGTATGCTAGCCTTCATGGCAAGAGGATTGGCAAGCAGGGATGTCTTGTTGCAAGACCACACCCAGAATATTGTGTAAAGTTTTGGTCTCCTTATCTGAGGAAGGACGTTTTAGCTATTGTGGGAGTTCAAAGAAAGTTTATCAGACTGATTAATGGGATAGTGGGACTGACAAACAGGGAGAGACTGGATCGGTTAGGACTATAAAAACTTGAGCTTAGAAGAATTAGGGAGGATCTCATAGAAATCAATAAAATTCTAACAGGATTAGACAAGGATTTCAGAACCAAGGGTCACAATCTAAAGAAACGGGCTCTGCCTTCTCTGACAGAAATGAAGGGAAATTACTTTACTCAGAGAATTCTCTGCCACGGGAAGTGGTTGAGATCAAAACATTGAATGCTTTCAAGAAGACTAAAGTGATCAAAGGATATGGGGAGAAAGCAGGAACAGGGTACTGAGTTGGATGATCAGCCACGATCATATTGAATGGTGGAACAGGCTCAAAGTGCCAAATGACCCACTCTTGTTCCTGGATTCTATGTTTCTGTTTAATCCTCCACTTATGCTAGTCTAGGCCCATGTTCATCCCAGATTAATATAACTACAAAACAAAAATTACAAGATGATCAGAGGATTAGATAGGGTGGACAGTGGGAGCCTTTTTCCTCGGATGGTGGTGGCTAGCACGAGGGGACATAGCTTTAAATTGAGGGGTGATAGATATAGGACAGATGTCAGAGGTAGGTTCTTTACTCAGAGAGTAGTAAGGGCGTGGAATGCCCTGCCTGCAAAAGTAGTAGACTCGCCAACTTTAAGGGCATTTAAATGGTCATTGGATAAAAATATGGATGATAATGGAATAGTTTAGGTTAGATGGGCTTCAGATTGGTTTCACAGGTCGGCGCAACATCGAGGGCCGAAGGGCCTGTACTGCGCTGTAATGTTCTATGTTCTATGTTCTATGTTCTATGTTCTATGAACTGAGAGTGTTTATAAAAAACATCAATATTGAACTCAGTTGGGTTGAAATCATGATCCTACATTGAGTCCCAGTGAAAATGGCTATATTCAACAAAGGATTGTAAGATGCTACTGAGTTACATGCTGTCACTCCTATGTTTGATCTTAAGAAGCATAATTGCGTAAGAAATAGGAGCAGGGGTAAATCATATGCCACCAAACCTGCTCCATTATTCACAAAGATCATGGCTGATCTTCGACCTCAAATCTATTTTCTTGCCTACTCCATAATCCCTTGACTCTAAGAGACTAAATATCTGCCTGTAAGTAGTATTGTGATTCATATTAATGGCATAGATTATATGGTTGCAATAATGATTACACACATCCTCATGGTTCCCCAGAGGATCAATGGATCCACACAGTTACTCAGTCAGCAATAAAGACAAGGAAAACCCCAAGTTCTGTTCCTTGTCTATCCAAAATTGTTTGACTTTCAAATTATCAATTAGTCACTGTGACTCTAGGCTTTTGACCATAGCCTGCGTTGCGAGCAAGTCACACTAAATTTTGATGAACTGCATGATCAAACAGCCTTCAGACCCTGTGTCATGACTGACAAATGAATAATGGCTAACAGAAGAAATGACGGAGAGAACCAAATTCTTGTGGAACTGGACCCAACAAGGAATTAACTCCTTCATGGAAGGGGAGGGGAGGAACATGGCAGAATTCAATGATGGGATTGTTACAGTGTGTCAGATGACACCATGAAGATATAGCTAACATACCAGAAAACTATTATAGATTACATTTAATGCCAAAATGTAAACAATAGCACCTTTCAAAACCTCAAGTAAATGAGGCATCTTGAGTCCTTTGCACTGGCAAACTGTTCATTGAACAGTTTCTGTGTGGAAATCATTAGAAATCTCAGCTACTCAGTAAAAAGAATGTCAAAACATATTAGCCTTATTTTCCGTGTACCACCATGCTGCTGTAAAATTTTATTCTGATGAATGAGGTACATACTCAAAACTACATATATGCCAACTACAACTGCAACAACTCCACCAGAATTAATCGACCAATTGTGTGATACAGTGCCATTATCTTTAGAATGCTTTAGCTACATTAACAGGAAATCTGTGAAGTGGAAAATTACCCCTAATCAATCTTATAGGACCAAATTAATCTATGGCAAGGCACATCTGTGTGATTTAAATAGAGCTTTCTCCAGTAGGTAACATTCATTTTTGTTTCTTTACAGAAATTGAAATTATTGGATTAAAAAAGACCAGGAACCATTTAAATAAAAGTAAAACACTGCTCATGCAGTGGAAATCTGAAATAAAATCAGGAAGTGCTGGAGAAACTCAGCATATCTAGCAGCATCTATAGTCAGAGAAACAGAGTTAATGTTTTTCAGTTTTGATACTGCCAGATTTTCTAAGTTTCTCTAGCACCTTCTGTATTTATTCCAGGATCCATTTAGTTTACTTTCTCTGATGAAATGGTAATCCCATGAAACAACAATAATGAAGTTATTTATCAGCCACCACTGGTAACTTCTATGACAAATACCCTCGTGGTCTAGAGC